CCCCTTTATATATATATATATATATATATAAAAGATTCAAATAACGTAGAGGAGAGGCCTCCGAAAATAAAATCATACTGTGCGTAAAAAGCAGGCGAAAGGCGTAAAATTACGATGTTATTAATAACAAGTTTGTCAGGCATGTATGTCAGAAAGTCATAATCGTGAAATAAACATTGTTACCTTGGCTCATGGAGACACGTGTGGTCTATTCAGAGGCTCGCGTTTGTGTCCATTAACAATTTTACCCGTACCTACCGACCGTATTTCATCGCGCTAATCCTCGCGTTTAATCGTAGAATCGCGATTATTCATCAGCGGGTGAATTTACGGCGGTCAACGCGAGAAAATATAGGAACCGGTGACACTTAGGATTAAGTCCCGCGCACCGTAGAAAATGAATAGAGGAGGAAAAAGGATACTTTCCGAGGAGAGACGAGGAGACAGAGGAAGAGAGAAAAAGAGTAAAATTTTTGCGCTTAGGCTAACGGCGTGAGTAATTCACGTTACAGCACCACGCGCGAGGTGCCTTAGCACTAAGAGGATGATTCATAATATTGTTAATTATGTTAATTGACGGAACCCATCGCTGCGGCTACGAGCTGCTGCAATATGCACGGGCCTTAATAGCACTGCCACGTCGCTTTGCTGTCACGTTACGAATGATGCCGCGGTGACTGTGTGGCATCGGGCAGCTCTCGAGGTCTCGGAGGTTTTGCCGGGAAAAAAAGATTAAAAAAAGAGGGGGGGGGGAAGGAAAAGAGGAGGAAAGAGAGAGACTTCGCGCCATAACTTACCGGCTAGAAAGCACGATAATCCGGCGACACGTGGGAAATTCCAAACGACGTCATTACTGTACCGTATTCTTATTCATGCGGGTCACAGGGGTTTCCATGAGCGCCAACTTCGGGAATACTACGATATAAGTGCATCAGTAATGCGACCGTCACCGTTTAACTGACCATTAAGTATACTTACGTAGGATATCTGTTTTACGCGTAATATATTTTCAGTAATAGTAGTTCCAGTAAAGTCTCAGGAGACTTCCCTCCGCGCGATACTCAATCTCTAAGATTTCTGATTCGCAAAGATTGTCTCGTGAATAATTTTGCAATTTTGTCAGACATCCATCAACGACGGGGGAAATATCTCTCAAAAATTGAAATCTTATCTCGCGTTATCATCTTCGCGAAAGAAATACGTGGAATATTTTCATTCGCGGAAGAAGAAAATGGAATTATCTAATATTTATTAGTTCTCGATGCGAAAATGTATCACGTAATCGTTGGAGGGGGAGGGCAATATAAATCATAGCAAATAAAACGCTAATGAAAGCAATTAAGTAAGTGCCGAAGATGTCGCGCGAAAATAAATCACCGGCTTCTCAGAAATGAAAGCTGAGGCAATCCTTCCTGAAATTTCGCGACAAAAATGACCAACAGCCCCGCGATCGTCTCGCACGACGAGCTGCGAGTGGACCTAAATCGCGCTAATGATCGTTTGATCTTTGAATACTCCGAAAGAATTTCTTGGACGCGTGTGTTACGAGCAATGAACGTACGAGCGATTAATTACGACGAAAGGATGCCTGGCGGTACGAAACGCCTCGTGCTTCGGACCGCGCGAGAAGATATTAATATAATTTCTATCGCGCGCACACACAGTTATTAGCATTCGAAAATGTTATAGGTTATTGCAACATACGTATGGCGTTGTCCGAGACGCCGGGAGTTCGCTCGGGCGTATAAATCCCAATGTCGTAAACCGCGCGCCAGTTAATGCGATTAATAAATTAACGCCGGCTGCGCGCGGCTGTGTCTTAACTTCGTTATCATTGTAAATAATTTAATCCAAGCCAAACCTGCATGCGCGCACATGGGCGGCGACCGACCGGCGAACGCCGCCGTTTCGGTAGGAAGAAAAAAACGGGGCGCGATCAGAGCATTGTGCGCGCAAAGATCAAGGTGTCTCGTTAATACTCGATGAAATGCAATCACAATACCCTCGCTCGATTATAAGAGATAATTTCACAATGGCGTACATTTCTTCCACTTTAATCCGGCGTGATAAAAAATGATCCTATAAATACATCTCTGGTGCGATAGCGAAATCGTTACATACGACGATATCAGCGTAGTACGGCGGTACATTGGAAATATCTCGATTAACAATCTCGCGATACGAAAAAAGATCTATTCGACAAATGAAAATCATGGCGATATCGCAGTTGTTGCGATACACGCTGCATGACCCTACCTATCTACATTACAGGTGCAGGAGGCACCAGTCTCACCAGCGTCCTCCTCTCTGAGCAACCAAAATCAAAACGAGAACGAGCAAGTCTTGCTGGCGACTATGCAACCGGTGAACGTGCTCGATCTGCACGAACCGCCGGCCGTGCATACGCTCCATCCCAAGTATCACCATCACCATCATCGTCACCATCACCATCACCATCATCATCATCATCACCAGCAGCAACAGCAACAACACATCCAGGGCAACGATTCGGAAGACGTGCAGCAGCAGCGCGCCGCAGCTGCGGACGACGTGTCTGACGGCCGCGTGTCGCCTGGCACCGAGGCGGCCGCCAACACGACGCTTGGCGTCGGCGAGCACAAGATGATCGACCTGATCTACAACGACGGGCAAAAGACAGTCATGTATACCCACGACAAAGAGATCATTTACGAAAATGAGCACGCGGACCGCGTGCAGGTGGTCGAATACCCGCCACCACCGCCGTCGCCGCCGTCACCGTCGCCACCGTCGGCCGGTGTCACGAGGACGGCGGGCCTGTTGCCGCCGTCCTGCGTCACACCGAGGTCCGCTGCCACGTCCGCCGCCGCTACTGCCCTGCATCTGCACCACTATCCGCAACTGCAGCTGCAACACGAGGACGATCTGCCGCCGACGGTGCGCCACGCCGTCAACGCGACCGTGCCGAATGGCGGCGCCGCGACGACCACGACGACGGTTCTTGTGCTGCAGGAGCTCGTCGCGACCGATCCGGCCGCCGCCGGTGCAGCTGCAGCCGCGCAACAACTGACGCTTACCGCCGCCGCCGCCGCTGCAGCGTCGTTTCGCGCTGGGTAAGTCTTTTTTTTTCCGTACACACGTTTTTTTACATTTCGCAAATTTTCCTCGTATCCGCTCAACCAGTTGGCCCTCGATCTTTCGATCTTTACTTAACACACCTTGTTCTCTTTGTCAGTCGATTCAAATGATTAGATTACCTTCGAAATGAATATTGGCTGTTCTCATAAACCAAAAAGTATATATACATCTGCATCATATTGATTCAGCGAAATCATTGAATATTTATATCGTAATGCTAAATGACAGATTATTAACTTGGTTGAGGAATTGATCGAAACGACGCATAGACGAACGTCCTTATCTAACGGAAAGGATCAGCGTATGTATGCGAATAATATATCTAACGGGAGCAAGAATTTTCGTATTATGTATATCATCTCGTAGTCTGATTTAATCGTGTTCGCGAATATTTCTCGGATAGTCGTATACGAATAGATCGAGTATCAGGTATATATTCTATATGTTTACGTCGCAAATCTCACGCGCGTATTTCACATATAATTAAATCTATCCTGACCGTGTCACAGTCGTCGAATGACGTTGTATTCGAGACAGGTTGTAATTCATCCTTTCTCTGATTATTGACTCACAATGTCTCTTGCGGTTTGTCCTATCCGTACAGCAGATGCGACCGCAACGTTACAAACAAAATGTGCGGACACGAAGTACTGCAGCGGGAACTTCGATGTTAAATGTTTTTCATGAACAGGTATCTCCGGTATTTTCACGAAGTATGTCAAAAAATATATATTGCTGTGTGCATTCGCACATGAGATTATGAATACATTACATTGCGGCGTAAACTGATTAATATCGTGTCGTTGGTTGGTGCTATAAAGATAACAGTAAGTAAAAAAGATTAATGAGAATGAATCACGTTTGTTTGCAACGTTGCGAAAGGCATTGGGAGAAAAAGGCGTGATTGCCGGATACTACGCGCATACTTTCCTTCTGTCGAGATTGCCTGGAGATATTCAAAGTGATAATACATATATTAAAACGAGAGGACCCGAAGACGCGGCAAAGGTCATAACGAAAAAAAAATGGAAGGATAAGCTAAATGTCAGCTTCGGAGCTTGTTACAGCCTCACAAATGAACGTAAAGGATTCAGTGCTTCGTTAGCGCGCGTATTTACGAGTGTACGACCGAAACGAGAGTAATAATTGCGAACTTTTACGAGTTACGCGAAGCAATTCCATCCCTCCTTCGCAAAGGAACTAAGTACTCGAAGATCGGAAACTTACAGATGTAATTCATCTAACTTATTCTTGAAAATTACCTTGTAACTAGATTATATCAGTCGAGATTAAATCAATATTTACTCAGTGCCAGCCAACAATAGGATACTATTTTTTTTTTTACCAGAAGTTACACAGATAAATCATGGACAATCTGATAAAGCCAATGACGTCTATGTACATAAAAAAAAAAACGTCTCGATAAATAACGATCGATAACTCTTTTCTTTTTATTAAATTTTTATTATTATCAAATTATGACAGACTGTTTACGCACTGACGGTAGCGTAGACGTCACAGAAAGAGCTGGAATGGAAGTATATAGCGCTCGAGGAGCGAAGCGCTATCTGGCGCATGTATCAGCGTCGACAATTAACAATCGTTGCGCGCACTTAGCCGCGAGCCAGTGCGGATAAGTCACGTTGCTATATAGAATTTATTATTACGACGAAGACTACCATCTCGCGCGTATGTGCGAGTTACGCGCCGTTCTCCGCACGCGGAATATCGGCGAGCCAATAACCATTAACCACGCACGCACACCGGCGCGCGCCACCTTGCACTTTTGTAATAAATAAAAATCAACCGCAATTAATCGGCGTGAGATATGCACGCGGGAGAGACCTTGGGTGCCACGAAAGAAAAACCGCGCCACTTCTCCGCGACCCCGCTTCTTTTTTTTTTATTTCAACCCCCCCCCCCCCGCCCCGTTATTACGAAGCGAGCGCGCGCTGCCCGAATTCCCGCCATTTCGAGTGAGATCCAAACAAGCGCCCGCTGTTTTCTCCTTTCCTTTCCTTTTTTTTTCTTCTTTTTTCGTCTTTCTCGCTTCTCCGTCTCCTTTCCATTTTTTCGTCGGAATATATGGTTGGACGCGTGTATACAGATTGAAATATTCGGTCGACTCATTCCTGAGAAATAGCGACTGCCTCTCTCACGAAGAAGTGCCTCCATAGTGATCTTCGAAAATTCAAGTTCCCTTTCACTTCGCACCTTCAGACGCGTCACCGTGAGTTTCGACAATAATCAAGATGTAGCAGAAAGAGAAAAAGGCAACCTTGAAGAGATCTCATCATATGTATACAATTCACTTGCGTTTTCGAATGATTTTTTTTCTTCCGCGATACCGATGAATTGACGTAATCAAAGATAGTTCTGTTAAATTTGTAAAATTTAAATATAACTCGGGCTCTCGAAATTAAAAATATAATCAAGTCGGGATGCTCAATGAGAGCATCGACAGAGCGCAGAAATTGGTGCTGCGCAATATAATATAATTATCTAATAATGTTTATATAATATATAAACGTACAATTATGGGTCGGGGTCCCACCTTATTTGAACGTTTCGGTTTTCTTCAAACCATCTCCGGCAAATTCGTAGATATTAGATGTCTCGACAAAATATTGAAACGATGTTGGAATTAAATTCTAATTCTTAAAGAGGATAAGCATATCCTTACTGTCTGGTTGGAAGTTGCAAATTTGTCTCTTCGTCGTTAAGCCAAGTGAGTAATCTCCGTCTCAGATCACAATTCGTTATTCCAAATGTAATAAGTCCAAATAGAAAATGGAACGATGACAAGAAATAAAAGACTTAATTTTACATTGAGTATACGATATAAAATTATAACATGTGTTATCCAGATAACAGTCTGTAAAATTTACTAGGCTTTTTTTTTTTAAATTAATCTGTTAAAATATATACATCTGTTGCTATTGTTATAGTTGTCAAGAAACGAGATTTTTCAGAAGCGTATTTTTATAACAATACTCGTAAATCTCGCTCTTCTTCAAGCAACGCAATAAATAATTGATAATAAATAATTTCTTGCGTAACAAAGAAAATACTCCGAGTTGGAACTCTTTCGTTCCCGTGATCGAATGAGACGAGTAAAAAAAGCCCCTAGAGGGCTTCTCTGCTATTCTCTTTTGTCTAGTCCTCCACGATCAGAACGCGGCGGGCAAAAAACAATCCCTCGTATTCTCTTAATCTCTTTCTGTTGGTCGTCCAAGTCGTAGGAATGAAGAGAGAGAAAACGAGTACCAGGAGAGGAAGGGAGCCATCCCTTTCCATTCGCCCATGGTCTCAAGAAGGAAGTAAGAAAACAAGTTTCTCGCGCGAATTCTTATTTCTTTTTATTTAATTTGCACGGGATTAACTGTTTATAGTTCGCGTCCACAGTGTATTTTTCCGTAAAAACACAATTTGTAAGTGGGAAAAAATATATCTCTTATCATTGAAATATATTGTAAAAGTAAGATTATAATACGGGAATAATTCGTGTTAACGGAACCTTGGAACATTCGATGTTTTCTGTCTAAGCACCTTAGCTAAAGATCGAGTCAAAGGAACTGGTTAAGCTGACATGCGTGGGTGTGTGATATGAATGAGTATATATGACAGGTGATGCGTGTTATTGATATAAATGTTCAAGAAAAGCGCAGTGTATTTAAATCCATACACAACCGTCATACGACAGTTCAATATACTCGCGTTTAACGTTTCTTCACTATTTCTATCCGGATTTGTATAAAAATCTGCCGAGACGTGAGAGAATTCCATGAAACTGTCATCTCTATGGGAACGTGTATATAAATAGCTTTATTAACATATTTAAAATTTATATTTATAAAT